GTATTAATGAGGATGTGTTGAAATGATATACTTCATGGTTAGAAACTTCTCAAAAGTTGTATTGGAAACCATGTGAAAATGAGAGAATGTCATTAAATTCAGGTACTAAAAAAGTGATTATTAACATGAACAAGGTATTTTCCCTTTTACATGGGACTAAAAAATGTGTTTCATAATAATATTAAAAATATTATTTGGAAAATACTTGACAGTTAATGCATCTTTCATAAACATTAATTATTTATAGGAATACTATAAATGGTATTATTTTAAACACATATTTTAATTTTATAATACCCTGTTTCCCCAAAAATAAGAAAGTGTCTTATATTAATTTTTGCTCCCAAAGATGTGCTAGGTCTTATTTTCAGGGGGCGGACTGTTGACTCTGCTGCCAGATTTCCCTGGTGGGAAGGAGACAAAGGCTCCAGACTGTGCTGGGTCCCAGTTCCGACTGCTCTGAACCCCAGTTCTAAGCCAGACCCCGGGAACCCAAGCTCAAACAGAGGCAGCTGGGCTGTAAGGCGGAACCCCGGGGGAGCGGCAAAAGGAGGTCCCGAAGGCGCGCACATTGCGCGCAGAGAATGGACGGTTGGCTGTGCGGGAAGGAGACAAAAGCTCCAGACTGCTCTGAACGCCACCTCCAACTCCACTTCCAACTGAACTGAACCCCAGTTCTGGGCTCACTGGGGGAGAGACTAGACTGTTTGGTAGCAGGCGAAAATCGAGGGCACCTTTCTCTTAGAGGCTCTTGCAGCGAGTACTGAAGGACCCTGGGGATTACTGAGACTCAGGAGCTGCATAGGGCGGGGCTGACGGAAGCCAAGGTTGCAGGCTCCACCCTGAAACCCCGCCCCATCAGGGAAGCTGCAAAAATGCCGAGACAACAAAATAGATCACAAACAAAAGAAATGGAGGACAAAAATCGACTGGATATAGAGTTCAAATCTACGCTTATAAGGTTTTTCAAGAATTTCATAGAAAAGATCAATAGGACCTATGAGGATATGAAAAGGGATCAACTAGAATTAATAAGGAATCAACAATAAATGATAAGGGATCAACAAGAAATAAAGACTACATTGTCTGAAATAAAAAATATTTTACAGAGTCCTAAAAACAGAATGGAAGATCGCAAGAATCAAGTCAAAGATTTGGAACATAAAGAGCCAGAAGACACTCCTCCGTAGAAGCAAGAAGGCAAGAGAATCCAGAAAATTGAAGATAATGTAAGAAACCTCTGGGACAACTTCAAGTGAACCAACACCAGAATTGTGGGGGGTCTCAGAAGATGAGAGAGAGCAAGATATGCAAAACATACTGAAAGAAATAGTGACAGAAAACTTCCCCCACCTGGTGAAAGAATTAAGACTTACAAGTCCAGGAAGCGCACAGAACTCCAAACAAAAGGAATCCAAAGAAGACCACACCAAGACAAATCATAATTAAAATTCCAAAAGCAAAAGACAAAGAGAGAATATTAAAAGCAGCAAGAGAAAAGCAGGTAGTTACCTATAAAGGAGCACCCACACGATTGTCAGCTGATTTCTCAACAGAAACCATGCAGGCCAGACGGGAATGGCAAGAAATATACAAGGTGATGAATAGCAAGAACCTACAGCCAAAAATACTTTACCCAGCAAAGCTATCACTCAGAATCGAAGGTCAGATAAAGAGCTTCACTAATAAAAAAAAGCTAAAGAAGCTCATCACCACCAAACCAGAATTATATGAATTGCTGAAGGTGGTTCTTTCGGAAGAGAAAGTAAATAAAGATAAAAATTCTGAACAACAAATATGTAACTATTAACAAGTGAATCTAAAAACCAAGGAAATTAAAAAAAAATCTGATGAACAATATTAACTGTTGAATATAATAGAATCTGAGGTATGGAAGGGGAGTGAACTGACGATTCTTGGGAAAAAGGGGAGGGGGGGATGTGGGAAGAGACTGAACATAAACTGTGCTCCTATGGATGAGGACAATGGGGGGTGGGGAAAGGGCAGAGGGTGGGGTGGGAACCTGTGGAGGAGAGCAATAGAGGGAGGGCGAAAAAGAGGAACATTTGTAATAATATGAACAATAAAGATTTATTAAAAAAATATATACAGAGTATATAAATAGGGATGTGAATGTACAATTCTGTATTTAAGAATCTTATGCTTGCTGAGGCAATTCAGTCTCTAAATAATAAAACTATTATGCCCAAGCAGTGTGGCTCAGTGGTTGAATGTCGACCTATGAACGTGGAAATCACAGTTTGATTCCGTCAGGGCATAACCCCAGATTGCAGGCTCCAACCCCAGTGTGGAGTGTGCAGGAAGCAACCAATCAATGATTCTCTCTGATCACTGATGTATCTATCTCTCTCCCTCTCTCTTCCTCTCTGAAATCAATAAAAAATATTTTAAAAAATGATTATAAAATAAGTTAGTTACTAGATCACGGGTTCACAAGCTCTTTTAGGGTCATATGGATCTACTCCCCAGAAAAATCCATACCTTTTTGTACAAATTCAAGAGATTACTGGATCCTCTTAAAGCCAATGAATTAAAGAAAGCTCCATTAAGAGATTCACTGAGTACTAACACATAAAAATTATCTGAAGAACCAAAATTGAGAGAATCATTAGTTATCCCTTTTCTTTAATGCAGATGAATACACTTTAAAAACACGCCATTGCTGGGGGTGGGGGCAGCCGGGGAGAGGTCAATGGGGGAAAAAGTAGACTTATGTAATACTTTAAACAGTTAAGACTATATTAAATATAAGTTTGGATCAGTTTAGCTCAATCAAGAACACCCAATGGTAAGCTGAACTCAATCAATCATCCCTGAGTTAGCTGTCCCTTTGGCCTGTCATCTCTGAAAACTCTAGTTCCTTGAGGAACTAGGTGGGCCCAAGTAGCCGTATTTGTTATGTAGTAATAGTTGAAGTAGTTATAGTAGAACTAGTAGTAGTTATTAAAAAAAAAAAAAAAAAAAAAAAGCATTAAAAAAGTTTGCTATAAAACAGTATGCCACGCCCTGGCCAGTTTGGCCCAGTGGATGGAGCGTCGGCCTGTGGACCGAAAAGTCCCAGGTTTGATTCCGGTCAGAGGCATGTACCTTGGTTGTGGGCACAATCCCAGTGGGAGGTGTGCAGGAGGCAGCTGATTGATGTTTCTCTCTCTTCGATGTTTCTGACTCTCTCTCTCTCCCTTCCTCTCTGTAAAAAAAAAAAAAAAAATCAATAAAATATATTTAACCCCCCTCAACACCAAAAAACCCCCCACAAAAAACAGTATGCCTTGTTTCGCTGGCAGCAGCCTCACACATCTCGTATTTATTGAATCTCTTGATAGTATCATTTCCTCTTGTGCTTAATTTAGTCTCGTTTTGTACAGTAACATGCTGTACACTCTTGTAGCCTAGGAGTAATAGGCTATCCCAAATTGACTATAAAGGATGTTGTATGTATGTGTACATAGTATGAATGTTATGTATGACATAGTAATAGATCTGTTGTATCACCATTAAAAAAAAAGTGCCATTGCATGTTAAGGCAAAGAAACTCTTTTGCTAGTACCTTCTGAATGTCTCTCTATAATGTCTATTTCCATACATGGTATTATTATTCAATGAAAATATGTTGTTTGTATTCAGTTTCTGGTTTGACTTCATATTTACATAAAACACAAAGATAGACTTCATTAAAACTGGAAGAAACATGGCTTAGCTAATGAATTATTCTATTTAAACATTCTTCCTAGCTTAGAATGCTGTTTCTGAGGCTTTGATGCTGAAGGGAATGAAGTCATTAAGATTAGTTGATAATACTGTAGGATGAGCAGTTTCCTGCTATTAAAAAAATTACTTAGATATTTTGGAATTTAAATTAATTTCTTAATGAAAAAGTAAAAGATTGATGTACAACAGTAGAGAAATCTCTGCAGAAGTGAGAAACTGCACAATCAATACTGAAGTTTCATAAATCATTTCCTACATCTTTGAATAAACAGGGGAAAAAAGAACCAAGCCAAGTCCTTTAATAAGAAATGATCTGGTTATGTTAAAAAGTTTTTAAAAACTGTTTATCTTGCTACATATTCTGAAGCAAATAAACAGAACAGTTAGAATTAACATATTCTGGAGCATACTAGCAAAGTGGACAACTGATTAAAGAAACTAGATAAAAGGACAGAAAACAAAAGGTTTTGCATTTAACTTTTAAAACTTGTAAGTAAATACTGTTATAATTCAATTTGATGCTTTGCTAACACTAAGTATAAGAAGAGAAACAGAAGGAAATGTCAAAGGCTGGAGAAAGGATTTGGATCCCTTTACTTAATTCCAGCATTTTAAATGGATTAGAAATACAAATTATTACCAAACGTGCACAAAAGTCTGGAGAATTGGTAAAAAAAAAAAAAAAAAAAAAATGATGATTTAAAGAATAAAGATGATTTCAAAAATTTCAATTTATTTCCTTAAAAATGCAGAATAGGCATCCCTTACTACAGTCTCAACAAGCATCAGGAGGCAGTACTGCCAGTTTAAAAGGATCTAATGCTAATGTTAGGTACAATAGTATTTCATTTCAGAATAGCCCACAAGGCAGAATAAACTCTCTCATTGTGACAGACTAGTATGACTCTTAAAAGAATATGATTCTTCTAAGACACATTTTCCAATTAAAAAAAGCGAGTTGAGCTTTTATGGAGGAATCTATGAGAACATAAGAAAGACTAGAAACTACATAAAAAAAACGACTTCAGGCTTAATGTTCAGGATCAGTCAAAAGGAGGATAAATTCACCTTTATTTCTTATCCAACTATTAATATTAAATATATTGAAATTCAAATAATGAAGCTGATGTTATAAACAAAAGAAAGCCACATTAAGACACCCTTTCTGGCATTAGCATGGTGCATGTGAAGTTATAGTTGATACACCTCTCTTCAGTGGTGCACTGTTAATGAAGGATACATTTAAAGGATCAGTGTGAGCATATACATACCACAGGCTGTTTTGTGATGTCCACTAAGTCCTTAAGATTATAATACTGATGTTTCTCAAAAGCCGAAAATAGCATGTCTAAAACATATTGTTTATCAGCTCGAGCTCGTTTTCCATCTTCTTTCTTTTTCCTTTCATATTCAATCTATGTGCAAAAAACAAAAGAAATAAAAGCATCAATTCAACATGGTCACTTTGAAACAGGCATTTTCTTTCTTTCCTTTTTTTAAAAAATACATTTTTATTGATTTCAGAGAACAAAGGAGAGGGAGAAAGACATAGAAATATTAATGATGAGAGAGAATCATTGAACGGCTGTCTGCTACATGCCCCCTACTGGGAATCAAGCCCATTACCCGAGTATCTGCCATGACTGAGAATCGAACTGTGACCTCCTGGTTTATAGGTCAATGCTCAACCACTGCGCAACATTGGCTGGGCCAGGCATTTTCTTTTTAGACATCCAAATAACAATTAGATTTTAAACTGTAAGGTAGCAGGTTTAAGAGCAGTGGTTCGGAACCTGGGGTCCTCACTGCTCCCAGGGATCCTCAGATCTTTAAGGCTCTAAAAGTATTAGGTCAGCAATAATATCGATTTATAAACCATTTTCATTATTTCCTAAATTTAGCTTTATGCAATGTGTCCATTTCTATAAAAAAAAGGGGGGGGGAGGGGCTTTCTTTGCCAAATTTCTATCAATTCAGTGTGGCTACTTATTAGCTCATATTGATCAGGAAGTCTAACTTTAAATTCTTTTGTTTTTGATTGTCCAAAATACGGTACATTTATCTAAGAAATGTAGGTTAGTAGGTAACATCTTTCAAATTGGGGGGATCTAGGGCCAGCCAGAAGGTAGAGAGACTGGTAGATCATAGAATAGGTTCTCAAGGAAGTGACAAGTTTGGGAAGCATTGGTAAAAAGCCAAGAATGTGGGCAGTAACAGGAGGCTGCTTCTCACCCCGACTGGGTGACCTTCCTGAACTCGTTTCTTCTATAAAATGAAGTAAAGGATGACACTAAGGGGATGTATAGATTTAATTATAGTGTTATCATCCAGAGACTCATTTATTTGTAAAAAATTATCTTTTTATTGAAAATATGCAAACTTTCAGCTGATTAAACTTTTAATTTTCTTAGAAACAACTTCATTTTAATAAGGCAACAGGAACTTGTTGGAAGAACTATATATAAACTGCAGCAGCCAGCCCACCTAGTAAATATAGCATTAGCAAGTGACAGCTGCCAGAGAGCAATCTGCTGTGCATCCACTGGAATAACTATAATTTTGGGGCTTGACTCCAAAGTAATGAAATACTTTAAAAACTTACAATAAATCACTACATAAATTTCAGCCTCATACAGTTGGTCTTACTCTATTTTAACAATGAAGATTTATTTTATTTTTATTTTTTAAGTAATGTAGTTCACCCTAGAAGCGATTTTATTTATTTTTATTTTTTTTAATGATTTTTTTACAGAGAGGAAGGGAGAGAGCTAGAAACGTCGATGAGAGAAACATCGACCAGCTGCCTCTTGCACACCCCCTACTGCACAACCAATATACATGCCCTTGACCGGAATCGAACGCGGGACCTTTCAGTCCGCAGACCGACGCTCTACCACTGAGCCAAACCGGTTTCGGCAACAATGAAGATTTATTAAAAAGATAATATTTAGTTTCTACTGATGTTAAGATTAAAAACCTATCTTATACTTAATCAAAAATTTTCACATTAGTGGCAAGAGGTAACTATGACAACAAAGAATATCTGTCTTTCAAGTATTATAAATAAAACTAGAAACTAGATAAGGAAAAAGATCTAACAATCGCCTTAATTTTTTTTCTTAAATGTATTTTATTGATTTTTTTTATAGAGAGGGATAGAGAGTTAGAAACACTGATGAGAGAGAATCATTGATCAGCTGCCTCTTGCACACCTCCTACTGGGGATGTGTCCGCAACCAAGATACATGCCCTTGACCGGAGTCGAACCTGGGACCTTTCAGTCCGCAGGCTGACACTCTATCCACTGAGCCAAATAGGTTTCAGCTGCCTTAATTTTTTTGATATGTAGACCTTAGGAGTAAAATTCAAACTCTATTCATCTTAGGAGGTAGAGAGAGAAGAGTTATGGTGTGTAAGGGCATAAACTTGCAACAAGCAGTGGATAAGCCACAGAGATTTAGAGCACAGTGTAGTGAATATAGACAATATTCTACTTTAATTATGTGGTATGAATATAGATAACATTTACTATAATTATGTAATATGGTATACATCACAAGGACAATCCTATATAATAATCCTATGTAATAAAAAGGTACTCACGCCCACACACAAGATGGCTGCGCCCATGTGGTCACAAGGTGGTCACGCCCATGTCATCACAAGATGGCCACCCCCACGTGTTCACAGATGGCCATGCCCATATGGTCACAGATGGCCAGACCCGTGTGGTCACAAGATGGCTGCCAAAAGATGGCCAGCAGAGGAGGGCAGTTGTGGGTGATCAGGCCAGCAAGGGAGGGCAGTTGCAGGGGACCAGGCCTGCAGGGGAGGGCAGTTAGGGGCGACCAGGGAAGGAAACTGGAGGGGATCAGGCTGGCAGGGGAGGGCAATAGGGGGTGATCGGACCTGCAAGGGAGCAGTTAGGTGTTGATCAGGCGGGGAGGGGGGTGGTTAGATGGCTATTAGGCTGGCAGGCAGAAGCGATTAGGGGCAATCAGGCAGGCAGGTGAGCAGTTGGGAGGCAGGTGTCCCGGATTGTGAGAGGGGACCCAGATTGGAGAAGGTGCAGGCTGGGCTGAGGGACACCCCCCACAGTGCATGAATTTTGTGCACCAGGCCTCTAGTAATCCACTGACGACTCCCAGACTGCAAGAGGGCACATACTGGATGGATCCCTCAGCTCAGTCTGTGCCCTCTAGCAGTCTGGGAGCCCTTGGTGGATGTCCAACTGATGGCTTAGGCCTGCTTCCCTAAGCCATCAGTCGGACATCCCTAGTGCTGCTGCAGAGGTGGAAGAGGTGCACTTGCCAGCCATGAGCCCAGTTGAGAGCTTCTGGCTGAATGGCGCTCCTCCTGTGGGAGCACACTGACCACCAGGGGGCAGCTCCTGCACTGAGTGTGCTCTGGTAGTCAGTGTGCATCATAGTGACCAGTCATGCCGCTGTCTGGTTGATTTGCATATTAGCCTTTTATTATATAGGAAACATATATCAAAGTAACATGTACAACTTAAATTTACCCAATGTTACATGTCAAATTTATTCAATTTAGAAAATGAATCAATTCATCGCTTTAAAATATTACACATAGACTATGGGATACCCACCGCACTAAGATACAAGGCAAATAAGGTAGCATCTTACAAAATGTATCCCTTTCTTATGGCTCATGTACTAAAATGTTTATAGAGGACCTTGAGCATTTTATTAAAAATTTTTTTTAATTGATTTCAGAGAGGAGGAGAGAGGGAGAGAGAGATAGAAACATCAATGATGAGAGATAATCATTGATTGGCTGCTTCCTGCACAGCCCTACAGTGAGGATCGAGCCCACAACCCGGGTCTTATGCCCTGACCAGGAATGGAACAGTGACCTCCTGGTTCAGAGATGGATGCTCAACCTTGAGCATTTGAAATGTGATAGATCACAAAGCTCCTAGAACAAGATCATAATGCTGAAAAGAAAAAGGAAAAAAAGTACATGCATGACACAGACCATATTGGAAAGAAATGAAATGCAGCCAGTCTCAATGTTTTCTGAGTGGGAAGAGCATGAAAGAAACAACTATGGGAAGCTAAAGATTCATTAGAGAAGAATAGAGGGACTAGAAGAGCTAGAAGAAAGATTAGAGGGGAGAGATTAGAGAAATCTATGCCCAAGAAGAAAATCCAAGTCTTCCAGTGTGGGAAAGATGGAGAAACAGATGATAAAATGCATTTAAGGACAAAGACAGAAGTATAAAGTCTACCCCGATTCAGCAAGAAAGGAAGCTGCAAGAGGCCAAAGACCAAAAGGGACGGACATGAGGTCCACTCAAGAAAGAATTTTCTGCCGAAACTGGTTTGGCTCAGTGGTAGAGCGTCCATCTGCAGACTGAAAGGTCCCAGGTTCGATCCCAGTCAGGGGCATGTACGTTGGTTGTGGGCACATCCCCAGTGGGGGGTGTGCAGGTGGCAGCTGGTCGATGTTTCTCCCTCATTGACGTTTCTAGCTCTCTATCTCTCTCCCTTCCTCTCTGTAAAAAATCAATAAAATATATATATATATAAAAAAAAGAATTTTCTTTCTTTAGGATCAAAAGAAGGATAGAACTAAGAGAATGGCTGTATGATAAAGAAAGAAATCATGACAGACAGGATAAAACTCATAAATCCAAGCACAAGGGTCTTTGGATTAAAAAAAAATACATATCATAGAACACTTAAGGGACTAATATTTTAAGCCTTGCTTTACTAACCAATGACTAAAACATATCTATTTTCCCTGGTTACAATTGTGCTTACACCCAAAATCCTCTTCCACTGTTGCACTGCGCTAGACTGGGTTTATCTTTTATACTGTGATGGACAATCTAGAAAGGGGGCTGCTAAAAAAGTAGGAACAAATTTGGACCAGGGGATGAAGCTGTTATAATCCTTTATTCTGACCAAATGAGAGGTAAGAAAAACTTTGGGATGTAGAAAAGAGGAGCGAGAATCAGCTAAGGAGGGGTGGGGAAAGCCTATTCCATTCTCACAGGCTTGAGTGGGATGTGGGATTTCAACCTCAAGGAAAACAGTAGGGAGGAAGTGGGTGTTTAGCAAAAGACCAGTGTTAGGCTTTTGTATTCTCTGTACGGAGGCACAGTTGTATGATATATCTGCCCTCCTTTCCTAGCCTTAATTTATGCTGAAAGAAGAAAGGGTTAAATTCAGGAAACAGAAAAGAAAAAAATGATATGTTCAGCTTCCACCCTGAGAAGTCTCTTTCTTGTGTAAAAAAACAGAGAAGCTAGGAAGATTAATAAAAAAATGTTTTCAAATAAAGAAACCTACTGATAAAGCAAGAGAGCCCACTTCAGAGAGGTCACACACATTACTTGGCAGCAGAGAGAAACTTTTAAAGTGTTTGTTAAGTTGTCTAAACCCCAGAG